GTTTAAGCATAAGTACCAACAGATGACAAGGACACTCTGATTCAAAATAGTACTTCTGTCTGGTTCTATGGAAGATGAACTCTGCTTTAGATAAGGTTACTGCATTGTATTCATCTGTCTGTGATGCTAGGAGTGTAGACTGGTAATCTAACTTTTTTTTTTGTAAATTCTGTAATAATTCTATTTGATTTTCTAAAATAGAGACCTGAGCAACTTTTGATTTTGCCTGCACAGAGGAGAGTGAGATGCAAAAACCATGAATAAAACATTTTGTAGTCTCCCATAAGACCTGTGGGTCAATGTCTACATTGGTGTTGATATCTAAGAAATCTTTCAGCTGGAGCTAAAGCATGCTAAGAAGAGTAGGGTTGGTTAACAGCGATGTATTCAGTCACCACCTAGGGGTCCTAGTCTTAGTATTAGGCAGGTCGATGCTGCATAATAAGGCCGAGTCATCAGATAACAAGATTGGCTGAATAGAAGTACTACCTGAAATTAGGCAAGGGCTAAAAAAATTTTTAATTTATCCTACAGAATGTCTTGTGTTTATTGGAGAAGAATGTGTAATCCTTGGTGTCAATGTTCTGCATACGCCAGAGATTGATAAGGGTGGGATCTCTAATGAGTGCATTCAGCAGAGTGGATGAGAGATTAGTTGCTGCATCTGGATTAGATTTATCAAAAACAGGGTTAATAACGGCACTGAAGTCATCTCCCAACACTAAGGAACAGTCATTTTGTTCTAATAGTGCGTTGGCAAAATAGGTAAAAAAGTCTCTGTCTGGCTCATCTGGACAGTATATAGATACGAATGCTAATTTGTGATTTAAAATACTGCCAGTGATAAGTGCCATTCTCATCATTTTAAGCACTTTGTTAGCAGCCTGTTGTAAAAAGACACTTTATTGCCATTTCTTTAGTTGATTCTACAAAAAAAAAAAAGCCCATGATGACAAAGTTTGTTGTTATTAAAAAAATTTTTTAAATACCAACAATGTGAGACCCAAAGAGCTGGTATTAAAAACCTGGCATAATATGTATGGTGTGTAGTTTGTTTTTGAAAAAAATATGAGGAAATTGGACAAATGGAGGGAAAAGGTGGCAGGCCTGAAACTGTATATGAAAAATAAGCAATATATGAACATTATGAAATTAAATGGCTAAAACACTTTGACATAGGAGCTGTGAGACACACCCGGCCTTGTTGAAGCTTCAAGAGAAATGGTCTCAGTGGAAGGGTGGGTGTCAAAAAGTAATGCTTAAGGAAGAAAAACAGAAAAAACAACTGAGGTATGCCAAATAACAACACCTGGAATGAAAATACGTGACGAACCAAAATTTGAAAAGTTTGGTTCCAGTTGTGTATACCTATCTGTAAAATGTGGTGGAGGCTTTGATATTTTTGGGGCCTGCATTTCAGCCAGTGGTGTTGGCGATCTTATCAAAATTGATGGAATTATGAATGCAGAAATGCATGATCAACACTCTTTCAAAAATAATTGATAGAAGGCCCCAAACAAGACTCTTGATTACCCAGGATGTTGACTGGATATAGCTTGTTCTGTGAACAACATAAAAACAATGTTTAAACTATGTGAACACTTTCTAAGACATGTATTTGTTTATTTTCATATATTATTCATTTTCACTTCACACAAGCGAGTGAAACATTTAACATTTTACTGTTGAGGCCATTACCAGGTAATTCATCAGAACATGGTTAAAAATGGGAAAAAAGGATAAATAGTATTTAAAGATTATTTCTTTGTAAAAGATTAAAGGTATAAAACACAGACAGTTAAGTTTGTCCTGCCACTCTTGGTCTTTTATTCAGTTTAAGCTGTCTTTTGGCTTGTGTCCTGTTCTTTAATTTATCACTATCCATCTGCTTCTCCAGTAAACATGGCTTCTATAACACTACCCATGCAAGAAATGTTGAAACTTCCCTTTTGCTCTTCATTGTAAATTACAGATCAGTGTGGTGTTATGTTTCAAAAAAAAAAA